TTGTAATGTGCAGCCAAGGTTGAGAACCACGAGTTTATTGTGTTCTGCAAGGGATACCATGGCTTCCAGATGTTCTGGACGTTTTAGACCCCACTGCTTTAATGGTTTAACCTTTAAATGGGTTAACATTTAGCATTAGATATGATGTTTGGCCAATGTATTATTTTTTAAAAACTTTTGAATTAGAATCCCAAAAGGATTTTAAGCCCATGTTAAAAGTGGAGAGGTTTTGTAGAAAACACCCCCCCCACCACCACCACAACAACAACACAAACCAAACCTTAGATTGTCTCCTCTCTTGGAAAATGGAAAGGCTGGGGCAAGCTGGGCTGTCCCTGAGTGGTGCCAATAGTTGCTGTGGTCAGATGCTACCAGAAAGTTGGAGCTTTTAGTGTTCCCAGAGATAACTCTGGACGAAGAATCTGGCTACTTTTAGGGGAGGGAAATGGTCTCTGAAAACCTTGTGGAGCACCATCCTCCTCGTTAAGTGCCATCGAATCGAGTATGACCCATAGCGACCCAATGAACCCAATGTCCTATCCCGTGCCAACCTCACAATCCCTGACACACTAGAGCCCCCTGCTGCAGTCACAGTGTCAGGCCACCTGGTTGAGGGTCTTTCTCTCCTTTGCTGACCCTCCATCTTTCAAACATGATGTCCCTCTTCAAGGACTCGCCTCTCCTAGCAACATGCCCAAGGTAGGTGAGACAAAGCTTCGCCATCCCTGCCTCCAAGGAGCAGTGTGGCTTCAGTTAGAGCTGGATCTATGGTAACTTGTTAGTCAAGTCGGTTCCAACTCCCCAGCAATGAGGTTTTGTTGTTTGGGGCTTGGTGGGGGTTTCTTTGAGCTGATTTATAAATCCCTGGGTGGTGCAAACGTTTACCATGCTTGACTATTAACGGAAAGGTTGGAGGTTCAAATCTATCCAGAGATGCTTGAAAGAAATGCCTACTTACCTACTTCCTGAAACACAGCTATTGTAAAACCTATGAGTCACAATGGTCCAGTCCATCCAATCACATGGCACAGGACCCGGTAGTATTTCTCTCTGTTGTGTTTTGGGCTCACATAACAGCAGCAATACCAACATATGACAGAGTAATAGTAATATCATCATAATAACAGGGACACAGTTCACTTGTGACACCCCTGCTCAAGACTCTTCATTAAATCGTTGTTATTGTGTGTCACAGTGGAATCAACCTGTAGCTAAGCTCCAGCGGGTTTTCAATGGCAGCAAATCACAAGGGAAGAGATTGCCCACCTTTTTCCCATTGAGCAGCTGGTGGATTTAAACCCAGTGCCTTCAAGATTGATTTTGCAGCGCAGCTTTTTACCACTAGGCCACCACAGCTCCTTTTCATTATACTTGTAAAGAAAAGACTTTAACTGAATTATTAGAGAGATGTTGACACTCCTAGACAATAAGCAGAGCTGTTGTCGTTAGGTGCTGTCAAGTCAGCACTAGCTCACACTGACGACAAGAGTGCAATTCCGTCCATCACTCAGGGCGCTCTGGTCATCTAGAGGCAAGGAGCTGCACTGTGGTTCGAATCCACCAGCTGCTCCCCACAGGACAGCGATGGGCAGTTTCCTCCTGTGCAGTTTACCGTCTCTGAAAACCCACTGGAGGGCCAACTACGGGTCAGTTCAGATTCGACAGCACACAACAACAACGTGTCCATCACTCGTCGGTCAGTTTGTCATACTATGCTGGCTTTTGTGTCACTGTGATGCTGGAAGCTATGCTAATACCTGTAAGGTTCTCCTGGGTGGGAAAGTTTCAGTGGGACTTCGGGACTATGAGAAGGAAGAGCTTGATAAGTCTACTTCTGAAAGCATTGGCCGGTGAAAGTCATATGAATAGACTGAGTTAAGAAAGAACAAATCCACTTGTCCCCGTGTGCTCTGCCACCAGAGCTTCTAGGAGTTCCTATCGCTTCCTGCTTGGTTCAGCGTGATTTGTCTACATTGTGAGTCAAAGTCCTGTTGGAGCCTAAAGCTTAAGGTAAGACTTGACACTTAAGTTTTCACATGTATGTTAATGCTTAACAGGATGCGTCCTGCATGCCAAATGTCTAGGTTAAAAGCCTTGCTCCATCTCAGCAAGTGACATCCCTGAGGCATGTCTCAGTCTCTTCATCTATAAAACTGGAAAGTGGCAGGTGTCTAGATGACAAGGTATTGGTGGCTCAGTGATAGCGTTGTCTCCTTTCATGCAGAAGACTCAAGTTCAATTCCCAGCCAATGCACCTCATGTGCAGCAAGAGTGGGAACCTCTCTGTCAGTGGCCTGTATGTTGCTCTGATTCATAACAGGTTTTAGTGGAGGGTCCAGACTAAGAAAGACCAGGAAGAAAGGCTGGGCTACCTACTGCTGAAAGTCAGCCAATGAAAACCCTCTGGATCACGCTGGTCTGAGACCCAGCCAATCAAGGGGATGGCACAGGACCCAGAAGAATTTCATTCCATTGCATGTAAAGTCACCTAGAATCAGAAGTTGATTTGACAGCAGTCATAACAACATCTGACCCAGGCAAGCCAGAGGCTGGACCTGTTCTCTCTGCTCTCATTTTGGCACCTTATCTCATGCCCTCCTAGAAATTATTCTTTCCAGAGAGATCCCTGACTGCTGGTCCCGTTTCCTACCATCACTTCCCTCTAAATCCATCTGCTGGGCATGATGCACTATGGACAAGAACACGGCCTCACCCTCCGCCCTACAGAAGTTCTGCCTTCGATACCCTGCCAGTTCCCCACGCAGGCCCAGTGCCACTCCCACCTGCCTGAATGTGTTAAGAATAGGCTTTCCAAGCGCCAGACCTCTGATGATGGCAATCAGCTCCTAAGCATCTGCTGGGCGTCTGCATCTGCCCAATGCCTTCCTTCTAATTACTGTGCCTTGTGTGCCTGCTTCTCCAGGGCTGGCTCAGCACCTGACCAGCTGCAGGGCACGCCCAGGCTCGCGTCTGCTCAGCCTCCGTGTCACCTCCAACAGCTGCAGAGTCTGGGTCGGCTTCCTGTCTGCACCTGTGCGCCTCTGTGTCATCACCAAGACTCTCTGGGTGCTGACCCTTCCACAGCATCCCGACAGCATCCTGTGCACTGTGTCACATTTCCCCTGGGCCTGGCCACTGTCCTGTGGCCATCCACGCCTGCTGCAGTCCCTAAGTCCTGTTGCTGCAGCCTGGGAGCTGGCCAGCATCTGCAGAGACCTGCCCCAGCTTCTCCCTTGGCTGAGGGTTTGCACAAAAGCCGTGTCCTCATATCTGTGTGGTTCATTCATTCTCAGCTTGAGGTCGGGCAGTGGGTCCTCATGACCCAGATTTCCTGCTTTCTGGGACTCCTCCCTCCTGGCCTGGCCTCTTCTCAGGCCTCTGCAGCTGGCCTTGGCTTTCCTCCCTTGTCCAACATTCATGCCCACTACCTCCATCTTTATGGGTATTTAGTGAGTTGAAGGTTCAGTCACCCAGCTACTGGGTGCCTCTTTGAGAACTGTGGGCCTCTGGTGGACCCTGTGCCAAACCTACTTGGAGGACCCTGGGCAGGGAGCACGCACTCTGTCCCATCCTCCCACCTCCACCCTGAGGCAGCCGCATCCAAAGGAAGGGCACTCCAGGCTGTCACAGGAAACGGGAGTGGAAACTCCTTGCCAGTAATCACAGGCTCCTTGGCCTGGCTGGATCTGCTCCGGATGGGGCCTTCACACCTTCAGCCAGACCTGGACCAACCCATCCAGCACTCTCCTCTCCCTTCTCTCTCCCCAGGTACTTTGAACCTCTGCTGTTGGCGCCACTGACCACCCTCATCTCCACCTCCCAGGTGGGCCTGGGCTGAGGTAGTCAGGGCAGCGAGGACACCTGCTGGGAGGAAAAGCAAACAGAGCCTCCTGGCCCGTGAGTGGTGGCTCACATTCCTCTTTCCTGGGCTGTCAGTTTCTCACCATCTGCCAAATTTCGCTCTCTTGTGTTGGGGTTTCTCAAATCCCCATTCAGTAAACACACATGACTTCCACACGTGTACAAACACACACACAGACGTCTCACCCAGAAGCCTCCCAGCTTCTCAGCACAGACAGAGGAGCCTCCCAGGAGGACACACTCGCAGACACACACATGCCCTCTCACCCACAGCCACACCTCCCACCCACGCCTGCTGCTCACGCGAACACAAAGGGGCCAGCAGTGCTCACCCACACGTCGAGAGCCAGTCTTACTCTCCCTGGAAAAGCCCAGTTTTGAGTATATTAACCTGTCTGCTGCACAAATCAAGATGGCACATTGTCCTAAAGTATCTATCCATTAGCTTACTCCCTCCCACGGGTGCACACGGGACCTGGGGGTGGGGGTCACTGAAGGGCCAGCGAGCAGCTGTGTCTTGCGTCTTCACCATCCACTCTGCAGGAGAAGGATGTGGCAATCTGCTGACAGCCTTTCAAACTCTCTGGGGCAGCTCTATTCTGTCCTATCGGGTTGCTAGGAGTTACAATCCAGACAACTGCGATGGGTACTGTACTCCTCTTCCCGAGAACCAGAAAAATGGGATCAGAGACGTGTCACAATGCATGTAAAGCAGAGGGGAGACCCAGGTCTCCAGACTCAGCGGCCTGGAGACAGCAAGCCTGCCCCCGGCACCTTTCCAGCACCCATATGCTTGCCGTTGCCCATCTGATTGCCATGTGCCAAGGACACATATGTCCCCTTGGGCAGCACAGTGTGGTTCCAAATTAAAATCAGTCAAGGATGTGATTCGACTTTAGCAAGCTGTCGGGCAGGCTCCAGGGGCTCCTGGGTGCCCACAAGTGCCTGGCTGTAACCAGAATGGTTCTGTCTCCCTCCTTACCCACCGACCCAGTCCCACTGCACATCACTCCTCCTGAGCCTCTGGGGTTGGTGAACCCAGGGCTCCCTGCTGTGAGGCCACCCAGAGGCCCCCACCTCTGCGGAGCTCTCCATACCACATCAGACCCTCCAGAGAAGGTACCCCAGCGAGGACTTACTGTGCTCTGCCAGCCCCTGGATCATGTCGAATTTGTGGATTTCTTTGGCATAGTATTCCGACTCGGTGTTTTCCTGCATGCAGCCTTCCTCCCTCTGCCCCTGCATCTCCTCCAGCAGCTCCCGCGTGCTGTTGTAAAGGGCTAGGACCTGGTAGGGGACATGGGTTATCACGGATGGCTCAGGGGGGCTAGTGAGCCTGAGCTTGCTCAAGATTTGTCCCCTGATGGCTTCCACCCTCTTCTTCTTGATGTGGCCGAAGTCCAAGGTGGTACAAGTGGACAGGGAGAGGCAGACCGTGGCAAAGTTCAACAGGGCGAGGACCACCAAAGCCCTTTGCAAGTGCATCTTCATTTGTGAGCCCGAAGGAGAAGCTGGGGGCCAGCGAGGCCTGGGGAGGAACAGACCCCAGCAGAGGAGGGAAGAAAACCAGGCGGCCTCCCCAGATCCCAAAGACTGAGGCTTGGCAAGAAGGTGCATGAACTCACTGCACTGCAAGAGCTTCAGAACTTCCAGGAAGCGCTGAAAACCCTGAGGACGAAGAAGTGGACTGTGTGCCTTGTAGCGCTGGGCTTCTTCTCCATGCGTCTAAACAGGTTCTGCTGGGCTCTGACTCCCAGCAGGCCAGGTGGAGGGTAAGCAGCGGGCTGGGAGGGGTGGCAAGGCAGCTGGAAGTGGGATGGGAGCTGGAGTTTTTCCTTAGGTAAAAATAAATAGAGCGGATATCTGATATTGCCAAATGCAGCTTGGCGATGGGGAGAAAAGTTGGGATTTCCAAAACAAGAGCAGAAGGACCACAGCCTGGGTCCCCAAGTCAAAATCCTCGCCTTACCCTGAAGAAGAATAAGAAAAGAGGATGGAACAGAAAAAAAAGAATGGAAAAAAAATGATGTTAAAAAAAAAGTCAGATCACCAGCGAGTAGGTGGGGAGAGGCAGGGCTGGGCAGCTGCTGGCCCAGTTAAAGGTGGGGGCAGCGCAGGACACACTTGTCTCGGGCACTCCATTCATGCGTTCCCTTTTGTTTACACTTCCTGGGGGGCTTTCTAAATGACTTGGTTGATGCTGCCTCTGGTCTTCATGGGCTGGGAGGTTGGGGGGTATGTGCAATTCGAAGGCAGGGAGGACAGGCCCTCAGCCGGATAATCCACTTGGATGCTAGATCACCGGCGCCTCCGCTTGTCTTCTCCCTCGGCCATTGCTTCTCTTCCTTGCTTCTCTTTTTAAAAAGAAAAAGGAAAGAAAGAAAGGGGGGGAAAATAAAATAAAAAAAGAAGGCGCTTTACTGCACGCCTGCTTCGGGAAGCTGTTAGCCTTTCTCAGGCTCCGTCCCCTCGCTCTCGCCTCTGTCTCTTTGCCTTGAACTTGGCTTTCTTTCCCTCTTGCTTCTCTCTCTCTCCCTCCCTCCTGCTTCTCTCTCCCTTTCCCTCGCTCCCTCTCTCTCGAGCACACACATGCACACACACTGCTTTCTCTATTTCTCTCCGCTGAAATTTTATACCTCCCTCCCATGACGTCTCGAGCCTGGGGTGGGGGAGGGAGGGACCAGCGCACGCAGCCTCTTTTGCTGCCGGATTTTAATGTTTTAAACAGGCACAGAAAAAGCCGAGCCCATTTGGGGGGGAGGGAGGGGAATTGCTGTGCTTCGAGGTGGGAACTGAACTTTTTTTCCCCTCTTGGAGTCCCTCCTGCTACACGTTGACTGTTTTTCTGGAAAGTTACTCCAACGAATCCCCTCCCTCCGGCTCCCCAGGACTCGGGCGCCCTCTCGCCAGCTGTCAGTCCGTCCTCCCCTCCCTGCCCCGGGGGCCCGGGCCGCCCGGGTGCCAGGCCGGACACTGGGCAGGGCCGGGAGGGGAGAGCGGGAGACGCCCGGCCTGGGAGCGGGGTGGGATCCAGCTCCGCGGCCATCCTGGCTCGGATTCTTCATTGACAAGATTGGAGCCCGGCGCCCGGCTGAAGCTTGGAGGCGCTCCAGCGCCCGTGAAAAATGGTGGCGCTCGCCGGAAGATCGAGGGTGCCCTCTGGCGAGGCCAGGCCGCTAGTGAAGGCGGCCCCGCGTTCGGAAGCCGGGCGGGCGGGAGGTGGGCGCCGCGAAGGGGCCTGGAGCCGGGGAGGAGGAAAACAAGGCCGCGAGCCCCGGGGACGCGGCCTCCCTCCCGGGCAGACGTGCGCACAAGTGCACCTCTCCCTTCCCGGGGCCGCGCTCTGCAGGCGCACGCCGCCGAAATGTCATCCAGATGTGCGCAGCCGCCCGCCCCTCCGACGCAAAGTCAGCAACTGGCCCGCGCCCATTTCCCAGATGGGTGAGGGGAAGCTGCTTCTCCTCATCCGTGTCTCTGCTCAGCCTAAGCGTCTAGGGCTTTTCCCAGGAGAAGAGGGAGGCTCAGGCACATTGTTTCTCTCCCTTTTCTCCCCAAACAATGTTAGTTTCTTAAGTGTTAGTCACTCTGCAAACGGGCAGATGCAGGATTTCCCATATTACTCCACCCCATTTCTCCTCACCCAAGTCCCTGGATCCTTCCTGAGAGTCTGGCTCCTGCTCCCGGGGTTTCAAGTCATTAACTGAAGGAAACTTCACTGCATCTCTGGGTCTATCAGTGGTGGATCAATTTCAGAAAATGGAGGCTCGGAGATTACTTGTGAGTAGGTGCGCTAATCCAGGCCATGGTCTTCTCAATTACTTGGCTATGATCTTCTCAATTACTTGTTATTCAGAGAGTTGGACAATGACTAAGGATGACAGACGAAGAATAGATGTCTTCAAATTGTGGTGCTGGAGAAGAGTTTGAACATACCATGGACTGCCAAGAAAACAGATTGGTCTGTCTTGGGAGAGGGCGAAACCAAGTGTCTCTTTGGAGGCTAGGATTTTGAAGCTCCACCTCACTTACTTTGGGCACGTGGCCGGGAGAGATCGGTCATTGTAGAAGGACATCATGCTCTGAAGGGTGGACGGATAGTGCAGGAGAGGAAGACCCCTGATGAGATGGATAGATACAGTAACTGGAGCAATGGAGGTTGGTGTGTTGGATTTAGTGAGACTGGCTTAGGACAGGGAAGGGTTCAGAGCTGCTGTACATAGGGACTCTATACATCGCAGGTGACTCACTAGCACATAACAACAACATACTATATGACAGGTCGCAGGTGACTCACTAGCACATAACAACATACTATATGATAGGTTTGGAAGCAGGAGTGGTACCCCCTTACTAAACAACATGCCTCTGGAAACTCTATGAACTTTGATAAATATCGATAGTTGTAGAGGGTCTTTAGGCCTTTTGTTCATAGGGTCACTATGAGTCGTGCTCAATCAACAACAACAGTGGAAGTGTTGGTTAATGTGTTATTTGTTGTTTTGTATCATCAAATCTGAACTGACCCATAGCTGACCCTCCAGCCAGTTTTCAGAGGCTGGAAATAGGAGGAGATTGCCCATCTTTCTACTGTGGAGCAGTTACTTGATTATAATCATGTATCTTTGTGTCAGCAGCTCAGTTTCCAAAATCAGAAAAGGAGTATGCCACAGATGCATCCTGTTTGCATACCTTTTGAGTCTATATGCAGAACAGATCATCTGGGAGGCTGGGCTCTGTGAGGAGGAATGTGGCATTATGATTTGGAAGAAGGCTTATTAATAACTTGTGTTATACAGGTGACAAAACCTTTCCTGCTGAAACTGTGAGGAGGACCTGAAATATTTGCTGCAGAAGGTCAAGAACTGCAGCCTTCAATATGGATTGAAGCTCAACATCAAGAAAACAAAGATTCTCACCACTAGGCTGATTGGCAGCATCATGATAGATGGTGAACTGAGATTGTTAACAGCTTCAGTTTGATGCACACCCATGTTCATTGCAGCTTTGTTCACAATAGCAAGGAGTTGGAAACAACCTAAGTGCCCATCAACAAACGAATGGCTAGAGAAGCTGTGGTATATTCGCACAATGGAATACTATGCTGCATTGAAAAACAAGGAACTCATGCAATATTATTCAAAATGGTTGACTCTGGAGAACATTATGCTGAGTGAAATATCCCAGTCACAAAAGGACAAATATTACATGATGCCACTGTTGTAGAATGGGACTGTCCTTGGGGTTAGGGAGACACTGAGTAAGATGGGTTCAATAATGTATACTGCACTGAAGCAGAGGAGGGAGAGAACCGTCTAAAAGAGAGATGTAACTGGGTATTTCTGTCATCACAGGAGACTAGAGCGAGGGCTGCATGGTGGAGGGGACCTGGGGGAGGGTTTGTAAAACAATGAAAGAATCTTTTCTTTTACTTTTCCATAATTTTTGGACTCATGTACTTATAACTTGTTAGTCAAATTTGTGTCTTCTAGGTTGCAACACCCCCATGATACATCTTGAAGGATATGTACATGTACAGCCAAGCACAATCAATAAGAGTGCATCTGAATTCCAAAATCAATCTCCATAATAGTCTATGTGTTTCCTACTGCCAAAGGGGCCCTTTAGAGTAGTGAGAGAAGATCTTCACCCTGAAACCCACAGCGTCCCTTTTCAGCAGGAAGTAGCTAAGAGAATACGCCGTCCCCTTTTCCTTATGACTCAGGGTGAAGTCTCTCTCAGGGAGGAGTGATAGGGAATGGCAAAGGATACACTGACAAAGAAGATTAATCAGAACTGGCTTTGACAAGCACTGTGGCATTTGGACAAGAACAAACTGGGAGGAGGGTAGAGAGAATAGTGCAACAATGAATGAGTGGAAGCCCAAAATCTCTGTAAATGTTTATGAAAATTAATAAAATATAATTATAGAAAAAAAAAAAAAACAGCTTCAGTTTGCTTGGTTCTACAATCAACACTCTTGGTACCAGCAGCCAGTACTTTGGAAAGATGAATTGCATTGGGAAAGTCTGCTGTTGGGGACCTCTTCAGAGTACTGAAGAGCAATGATGTCAGTCTAGAGACTAAGGTGAACCTGATCCAGACCATGGTCTTCACAGTTACTTGCTATGCATCAGAAAACTGCACAATGACTAAGAATGATAGGAAAATTGATGCCTTTGAGCTGTGGTGCTGGAAAGGAGTATTGAATATATCATAAACTACTAGGAGAACAAACAGGTTAGACCTGGAGAGGGTGAAACCAGGTTGCTCCTTGGAGGCAAGGATTTTGAAGCTCCGTCTGACATATTTTGGGCACGTGGCAAGAAGAGACCACTTCTTGGGGAGGAACATCATGCTTGGGAGGGTGGAGGGACAGCACAAGAGAGGAAGAGCCTGGATGAGGTTGATTGACTCAGTAACTAGGGTAATGGTGTGGGTGTGTCAGAGACGATGAAATTGGCTCAGGATAGAGCAGAGTTTAGGGCTTTTGTACATAGGTTACTATGAGTCAGAGTTGACGCAATGGCACATAACAACAACAACAAGGTCCAGGCATCAATTCTTCTGTCATCATTCATTGATTGTCCAGTTCGCAGCTGCGTAGTAAGTGACTGAAAAGAAAAGGAATTGATGCCTTTGAGCTGTGGTGCTGAAGAAAAGTACCGAATATCCCATGGACTGTCAA